ACCCGCGTCGCCTCACACCCACCCCCCACGGCCCCTTCCAGACCCGGGTGTACGGCCGGGACCGTGTCAGGTTCATGGAGAGCCTGGTGGTGGGGGACATCGCCGAGCTGAAGCCGGGACAGGTACGGGGCACCGGGCGTCCAGTAGGGTCAGAGGTCCCCAGAGACAACCTGGGTGGGCAGGGGGGGACAGGGGGGACGGGCAGCCTACCCACACTCCTCCCGAGGGCCATGTCCCACAGGCCACTCTGACACTGCTCACCAATGAGAGGGGTGGCATCGTGGACGACCTCATCGTCACCAACACGTCGGAAGATCACCTCTACGTGGTGTCCAACGCCAGCTGCACCGACAAGGACTTGGCCATCATGAGGGTACGGGGCTGCCTGAGCCCCATGGGAGGTGGGGATGTGCGGTGGGAATGTCCTCCCACCTTTTGGTGACGTCTGTGGCTGTGCGGGGCAAAGTGGTCACGGCCATATGCGAGGCTGGCAGCAGCTCAGCTCCCATGCTAGCAGCCTGCTGTCACCCTGGCAGGGCAGAGCAGTGGAGCTGCAGGCTGCTGGCAGTGACGTCCACCTGGAGGTGTCGGACAACGCACTGCTGGCTCTGCAAGGTAGCAGGGAACCCCGCGTGGGCTGGCACCGAGCATCACCATGCAGGGGTCTCACCCTCAGCACGTGCCAGACTGCACCCTCCCCCGGGTCCTCGCCCAATGGATGTCAGTGCCCTCCCTGTGTCCCCCCCTTCCCTGCACGCTGCTGTCCCCCAGAGCCACCTGCCTCCCCAGGTCCCTCCATGGCACGGGTGCTGCAGGTGGGGCTGACGGATGACCTAGCCAAGCTGTCCTTCATGAACAGCATCACCACAACGGTCTTTGGTGTGCCGGGCTGCCGGGTCACACGCTGTGGCTACACTGGCGAGGATGGCGTAGAGGTACCCTGGGAGCTGCGCCAGCACCCTCCACACTACGGTACCACGGGAGGGGAAGCCTTGCCATGCTGATCCTGCCATGCTGACCCTGCCCATGTCCCCCCACAGATCTCGGTGCCCATGGGGCGGGCGGTGGAGCTGGCCGAGCAGCTGCTGGGTGTTCCCGAGGTGTGGCTGGCGGGGCTGGCAGCCAGGGACAGCTTGCGCCTGGAGGCTGGGCTCTGCCTTTACGGCAATGACATCGATGAGACCACCACGCCTGCCGAGGCTGGGCTGCTGTGGACCTTGGGTAGGTCAGGGCCCTGCCTGCCCCCACCTCCTCCTCGGGGTGGGCAGAGGGGTGAGATGTCCTCATGTCCCCAACAGGGCACAAGGGGACCAGGCAGACATAACTGACCCTCTCCCATCTCTGCCCCGCAGGGAAGCGCCGGCGTACAGCCATGGACTTCCCCGGCGCGGCTATCATCATGAGGCAAGTGAAAGAGAAGCCGAAGCACAAGCGCGTGGGGCTGACGTCAGTGGGACCCCCCATTCGTCCCCACATGGCCATTCTGGGCCCCGAGGGCACGCTTGTGGGTAGGTGGTGGCAGCAGAGCTGGCACAGGCATGGGCCCAACTGCACCCACAGCAGGGGAGGGTGTTGAAGTTGAAATCCCCCCCTCACCTCCTCATGTCCCTGCCTCCCCAGGCACAGTGACCAGCGGCTGCCCCTCGCCCTCCCTGGGCAAGAACATCGCCATGGGCTATGTGGAGGCAGCACACAGCCGGGCCGGCACCACGCTCACCGTCGAGGTGCGGAAGAAACAGCATCCGGCCCTCGTCACCAAGATGCCCTTTGTGCCCACCCAGTACTACATGGCCAAGTGAGGCCAGCGCCCCGGTCCCAATAAACGTCCCTGCCCTCCTCTCCTGGCCTTCTCTCCGGTGAGGGTGGCGGGTGCCAAACCAAGGGGCGGTGGGTGCGTCACAGTGCTTTAATGTGTGGGCAGTGCCCAGCGGTCCCGGTGCTCCTCATTCCCGGTGCGTTTTCGCCAGCTCTGCCGCCGAGCCCTCCCTGCAAGAGAGGGGCCGCC